AAATCGTAATCTCTTCTATGATGTGTTCCAACAGGTGACGGGAGGGGGCTCATTTGGGAAGGAACAGCGAGAGGACGACAGGCTGAAGCATGGCTGGACCCAGGTTCGGGTCATCGAAGGCAAGGAGGTTCAGCCTGGTCCCCACCCACTCCCGCATTTCGTCGTGCAAAATGGCCTGCTGTACTATGTCGCGCAGCAAAGGGGGGAGGAAAAATTATTGTTGGTGGTGCCACGCATCAAAACGGAGACTGTACTGGAGCTGGCTCACTCCCATCCCGCAGGCCTCAACTGGCTTCACACCCTTAGAGCTCCTCTTTGGCCGGCAACCCCGCGGCCTCCTGGATGTGGCGAAGGAAGCCTGGGAGCAACAGCCGGCAGTCCATCACTCTGTCATCGAGCATGTCAAACAGATGAGGGAAAGGATCGACCGGGTCATGCCATTAGTCCGGGAACACCTGACGAAGGCGCAGCAGGCCCAACAGCGCCACTATAACCGGGCAGCCCAACCACGGGAGTTCCAGCCTGGAGACCGAGTCATGGTCCTAGTCCCCAACGCGGCCTGCAAATTCTTGACCACCTGGCAGGGTCCCTATACGGTGCTGGAGAAGATTGGGCCGGTGACGTACCGGGTGCGTCAGCCAGGAAGGAGGAGAGCCGAGCAGCTCTACCACATTAACCTCCTGAAGAAGTGGATGGGGACTAGAGACCAGCTCGCGGCCCTCGCCATCTTTGATCCCGTGGTTGTTGACGTCAACCCCCACCTCTCGGCTGCCCAGAAGAGGGAGCTGCAGCACCTGGTCGGTCAGTTCTCTGATGTGTTCTCCTCTCTTCCCGGGCGGACCAACGTCCTGCAGCACAACATCCGGACACCGCCAGGTGTCGTCGTCAGGCAACGGCCCTACCGCGTCCCTGAGGCTCGTCGGCGAGCTATTGAGGAGGAAATTCAACAGATGTTGAAGTTGGGGGTGATAGAACCATCACGCAGCCCATGGGCCAGCCCCATCGTGATGGTGCCGAAACCGGACAGCACCCTCCGTTTCTGCAACGACTTCAGAATCGGGCTGGAGCCGCGAACGGCAACACGGATGACGAGCGTCCCGAAGCTTCACCAGCGTCGCCCTGGAAACAAGAGAGGAGCACCTGGCCATCATCACAGGCTGATCGGTCACAGCTGCACCTCATCAGGCGGCGGCTAAATATAGCCACGCAAGCCCTGCCATCTAGGAGATTCCTCCATGAGACTGAGCACTAACTCGCCCTCTCATTTTTCCCACAGAAAGCAGCGTGTGACCGACCAGCCCCACAGGAGCCCTGCACGGACCCTCTGCACTAGGAAGACGGAAGAGAGCACTCACGGCACCGGAGCACCTACCTGGACCTTTCTCACTAGCACCCATCACCCCAATAAATCCACCCTCCGGGGTATTGATTGAGATTACTTGTCGTGTGATTCTTCACCCCGTTACAATATACAATTTACATTTATATATTCAGACTTACATCTACACACATTTATTTATTTTATTTATTTATTGGAATGACCATCAACACAGTCAACAAAAGACCCCTTTTACATTTAACAAATTAAATGTATTAAATTAATCAATGTCATATTTAATATAAAACACATTTCCACTGGACCAAAACATGGGCTGTGAAAAATAGAAGTGACCTACAGCATAGTATAGAACAATCTGTACTTCCATTCCTCACAGCATTGCTTTCATCAACATCAATTTACTCTAGTGTGCCTTCTGAGGTCTATTTACTTTGAAGATGTTTTGCTTAGCAACATAACACAAGTGTTACCTCTCCATCTCTTTGTGATGGCGTTCCTCTTCATCTGCAGTCTTCTGCGATATTTCCATCTTCCTCCTGCAAAATATTGCACATATGAAACATTAAAATGTATAACTTTTCAGATTCCATTCAGGAATTTTAATTATTTGACACCTTTTCATAAGCAGTTATGAATCATCAGATTACTAACATCATGAAAAAGCAAAGACTCACATGTTTTATATAATATAACAATTTTAATTATATATTTATTTTAAAACGTAATCAATTATGTATTTAGGTACATTATACAACATGAAGTATTTTAATGATAATGAAAACCATTATAAAGTGGATATTCATTTTTGTATTAAGGATTCTATAGGATATTTTTATAATTCAAGAAAACATGCATCAATGTATTGTAAAGTAGGGTTTAACGGCTTTTAGTTAAGATTTTGCTGTATTACTAACATTTGTGTTTGATGTTTTTGTGCATGGTTATGTCTATAGTCCAACATGAGTGTTGTACATGAGAATGTAAGGTAATTTCAGGATTTACATGTGCCTGTTTGTGTTTCTGTTTAACTATTTAACACTTACGCTGCTAGAATCTGGCTTTTTGGCACTTATGTAGGCTTTAAAAATTGTTTTATATATACATAGAATTTTGTCACAAAGTAAAGAAGTATTTTAATGATAATGAAAACCATTATAAAGTGGATATTCATTTTTGTTTTAACCACAAGACAACAGTACCTAATATTTTTATAATAAAAGGATTGTATTAAGGATTCTATAGGATATTTTTATAATTCAAGAAAACATGCATCAATGTATTGTAAAGTAGGGTTTAACGGCTTTTAGTTAAGATTTTGCTGCATTACTAACATTTGTGTTTGATGTTTTTGTGCATGGTTATGTCTATAGTCCAACATGAGTGTTGTACATGAGAATGTAAGGTAATTTCAGGATTTACATGTGCCTGTTTGTGTTTCTGTTTAACTATTTAACACTTACGCTGCTAGAATCTGGCTTTTTGGCACTTATGTAGGCTTTAAAATTTGTTTTATATATACATAGAATTTTGTCACAAAGTTATGTTTTATCTTGGAGGAACCATGCAAATGTTTTTTTTTTTTACAGGCATTCATAATACAGTCTGAAGAGAACTGTCTGAATAGGGCTTAGCTTGTGTAGTGTGCATTTGTGTGTGTGTGTTTTCACTGACTGGCGCTCATTCTCCTGCTGTTCTTTGATGATTTTGTTGGTCTCTAATGCCACTCTCTTCTGATGCATTAGCTCTTGTCTTTCGAGCTCACGTCGTGCTTCAACCGCCAGCCGCTCCTCATCAGTCATAAACAGCTCGCTTCCCTGAAACATACAGTAGACAAATCAGTACTTTCATAGATATATACACATAAATACACCCCTTCAATCATATACTGTATATATACTCTACAGATCCCAGCCTGAATCACAAAAGCTTATGTTATGAAACTTCTACATAATTACCATCTCTAAAGTGAAAAAGTAAGAGTTAAAGACAAACACACCAATAAATAATGAAGTACAATATGAATGTTACAGTACAATACAAACAACATCTCCACAATATATTACCCTCAGCTGTCAATTAAACAGTTTCATACTAAGAAAATGGCTTTCTTTTCCACACAGCCCCTCAGAGAGAGATAAAAGCCTTGCAGTGGGTCTTTAAGATGTATTAGTGGGATCTCAGTGAACTTACAGCTCCCGTGAGGACAGTGATGGTTAGACTCCTGCTGCTCTTTAACACTCGCACTGCCTGAAAACACAAGCATTAGCCGATACAGTTACCGGTTTAGCTATGCAGAGAGGTTCTTAAATAATTGTTTCAGCAAAATCCTGCTCACTTCTTGATGACTCAGGTTGGTGAAATCCACCCCATTGACCTCCACAATCTGGTCGCTAACCTACAAGCCACAACAACACACACACACACACACACACACACACACATTAATAAAGGTTATTCCACATATTAGAGAATTTTGTTTAATTCAAGTGACTGATAACACCAAATTACCTCTTGACAGGAATCATTCCCACATCTGTGAAGAGAGTGTCACAATGGGAATAATAAAAAAAACATCAATAATTAATGAATAAGTAATACATTTAGCTAACAGCAGGCCCAATAATGAATTCTCTGAGGAAGACATGGTTTCCTCATGAATTGTTCAACTGTTAAATCAATCACAATTCAAATGTGATCGAGTCACTGCAACTGAGAGCTACAGCTAAATCAATTAATTAACCCCAGTGGAACTAGAGGCAATTAATTTTGGCTCTAATTAACAAAGTCAGCTCTGCAGATTACAATATAAAACTTTATGCAACAGTTCGTTCTGGTTCTCAAATCTGATTGGTTGAGAACCGTGAGATATTGTACTGGTATCGCTACAGGAATGCCCTTTCACAATTTTGTATCACTCCACTTGTTCTAGCCGGGTCTATGTTTTTTTTTAATCATTTACTGAGCTAATCGTAGAGTACGTTAAGGGGTCATATGATGCGATTTCAAGTTTTCCTTTCTCTTTGGAGTGTTACAAGCTCTTGGTGCATAAAGAAGATCTGTAAAGTTGCAAAGACTAAAGTCTCAAATCCAAAGAGATATTCTTTATAAAAGTTAAGAGTCAGCCACTCCTACCTAAAACGGCTCATTCTAACATGCCCCCACATATCTATATCACTATGTGGAAATATTAGCATAATGTCGCCAAAATGTGCACACAAAGAAAGAAGGTGTGTGTAACAAAGTTCGTAGTTCGGGAAAAAGGAGGCGGAAACCGGCGGACATTTAAACAATTTAATAATAAAACAAACACAAAACGAAAGAAAAGCGGCAGCCCCTCGCGGATGACTGCCGCACCCAAAACACAAAATAAACCCCAGGCCTGGTCCTCTCTCATTCAACACGGTCTTCACTCCTCCCTTTTATCCTTCCGGAGCTCCTCCGTGAGACTCGAGACTGGTGAGTGGTGCAGGTGTCGCTCATTATCAATCACTCCACCGGCCTCGCTCCGTTCCCACGGCTCTCGGCCCCGCCCCATATCATTATGGAAATAAACAAAAGAGGGAACATTAATAAAGGTTATTCCACATATTAGAGAATTTTGTTTAATTCAAGTGACTGATAACACCAAATTACCTCTTGACAGGAATCATTCCCACATCTGTGAAGAGAGTGTCACAATGGGAATAATAAAAAAAACATCAATAATTAATGAATAAGTAATACATTTAGCTAACAGCAGGCCCAATAATGAATTCTCTGAGGAAGACATGGTTTCCTCATGAATTGTTCAACTGTTAAATCAATCACAATTCAACTGTGATCGAGTCACTGCAACTGAGAGCTACAGCTAAATCAATTAATTAACCCCAGTGGAACTAGAGGCAATTAATTTTGGCTCTAATCAACAAAGTCAGCTCTGCAGATTACAATATAAAACTTTATGCAACAGTTCGTTCTGGTTCTCAAATCTGATTGGTTGAGAACCGTGAGATATTGTACTGGTATCGCTACAGGAATGCCCTTTCACAATTTT